TGATAATTTATAAATTATTATTTTGTCATATCTTGCCCTGTCTGATGTCTCCCTTCACCCACTTTTCTGTTGTCCGTTCCCCAGGGAGGAGGTTATATGTAGATCCTTGTAATCGGTTCCCCCTTTCCAACCCACTGGAAACATTTTTCAAACTAATCTGTTTGATGGCTGACAGCATCTCCCTCATTTTTTTCTTCTGTGTCACCAAATCACTATCCTTTCATGTCCCTCTTTATTCCCGGAAACAAGAAGAAGTTGCACAGAGCAAGGTTAGGTGAGCCAGGTGTGTGGGGCAAGAGAGGCATGCTGTTTTTTGCCAACAATTGGCACACTGAGATGGCTGTGTGAGCAGGTGTGTTGTCGTGGTGACAAAACCAGACCCCTGCCTGCCGCAAATCAGGCCTTTTTTGTCACATAGTATTACACAGTCTTTTCAGAACCTCTCTTTGGAAAGCTTTATTAATAGTCTGACCTAGTGGAACAAACTCCAAATGCACTGTGAGGCAACATTTTCATCCATTCGGGAAGTTGACAGATGTCCAGAACGAGGTTTGCCATCAATTGATATCTCACCTTTTTGAAACGAGAAACGAGAAAACCACTTGAGTTTTTCTCATAGCACTGATATTGTAAGCTGTGTTCAACATCACAACAGTTTCTGTGGTATTTTTCCCAAGCAGGAAACAAAAATTCACAGCCACACATTGTTCTCTTAAATCGGCCATCACAAAAAAACAAGGTTTGAGTGAAACTGCTTTTATGAAAAAATTTACTGTAACCAGGGAAAACCTTCTCAGGTGATGCCACTGGGTGCACTAACTCAGAGCAAGTTGCTCATTGCTCCTCTAGCAGGAAAAATGTGCACTACAAAAGCTCCACTCTGCCCATTGGAGCTTTTTTTCTTTTGGGGTGGGGGTGGGGGGCACCCCCTCATATTTCTCAACCTCTGAGAGTGTAGTGATTACCCATTGAACTACTGTGTTAGTCCAGGTAGACTAGAGAAACAAATTCATAGACACTCATCTGTGTGTAAGAGAGTTTTATATCAATTAGCAATGTCAGAAACAAACAAGTCATTGATTTTCAATACTTCTCCCAAAAATGATCTATCATGTCTATAAAGCTAACAATAATTTGCTTCTATACAAGGATCTACATATAACCCCGTCCCTGGGGAACGGGCAACAGAAAAGTCGGTGAAGGGAGATGTCGGACAGTGTAAGACATGACAAAATAATAATAATTTATATATTATCAAGGGTTCTTGAGGGAGAGAGGGAGGGAGGGAGGGAGGGGAGAAAATGAGGAGCTGATACCAAGGGCTCAAGTAGAAAACAAATGTTTTGAGAATGATGATGGCAAGAAATGTACAAATGTGCTTGATGCAATGGATGGATGGATGGATTATGATAAGAGTTGTATGAGCCCCCAATAAAATGATTAAAAATAATGAAAAAACAAAAAGAGAGAGTTTTATATCAAAGAGTAATTATATATTAAGAAAATATCCCAACTCAGTCCAGATCAAGTCCATAAATCCGATATTAGCCCATAAGTCTGATACCAGTCTATCAATTCATCTTCTGACTCACACTACACATGTAATGATGCTGAGTGCAGGAAGATTACAGACCAGTGAGTGGAAAGTTTTATGGATCCAGTGGCGGTGGAAGCATCTCAGTGCTGGCATGGGTTTCCACATGGCTCCTCCAGCTCCAGGGCTCTGGCTCCATCAACATAGCTCCATGTGGCTTGTCAACAGGAATGTGAAGCAGAGTGTGTGTCCCATTTCCATGGAGGAAGACAGGAGTTCCCAGAATCTTCAGAAGAAGACCATCACATAGAAGCCTCATTGGTTATGACTTGATTGATAGGCTAGATTCCACCCCTTCATTGAAATGGACAGATTATGTAACTGCCACAGCTACATAAGGTCAGCTGTTCAAAACCACCAGCCCCACAAGGGCAGTTCTATGCTGCCCTATTGGGTCACTGTGAGTCAAAATCGACTCAATGGCACTGAGTTTTTTGGGTATTTTTCTAGTCTTTCTCCAAGAAATGACAGAAGTTGCCATTAAATTCTCATACTTATATCCTACTAGTGAACAACCTTAGTGGGAATAAGCAAACCTTTTCTGATAGGGAAAAGTCTAGGCTTTACTTTCAGCGGGCTATGTTGAATCACAGGTCTGTGCCTGAATTAGCCACTGGAACTAGGGAGGTGGAATATGCTGATTGTTTAGGCCAGGTCACGTGCCTCACCCTGAATCCAAAGCGGGGTGGGAAGGTAGGATTTCAGCCTCAGCTGCAACGGACTGACTGAGATTTGGGCAATGAGGTTCCCTAGAGGAGACTTGGAGTAGGAATGCTGCGAAAGCTCATCGTGCCCTTCAGTCCTGGAGCTGGAAGGCCTGTTTATCTATATTCTGGCTGGGTAAAACTGCTTCACCCCGTCCTTTCATCGCTTCCATCTCTATGACTTGCTACTCCTTTATTAGGGTATTTAAGGAAACAGGTGAATTTAGACAGAGCCCTGGTGGTATAGTGGCCTACGCCTTAGGCTGCTAACCACAGACCAGGAGTTCAAAACCACCAGCAGCTTCTCAGGAGAAAGATGAAGCTTTCTATTCAGCCATGAGTCAGAAGTGACTCCACAGGGCAGTTGTCCCCTGTCCTGTAGGGCTGCTGGGAGTCGGATTTGACTTGATGGTAGCGAGTTTGATTTTTTTGTTTGTTTGGTTTTTTTGAGGCTAGTTTACCTCGTTTGCTGAAAGCGAGGAGGACTTGGCGGACCACTAATGAAGGTTGCGGATTGCAGCCTTCAGTATGGATCCCAATCCTCACAACTAGACCAATAGGTAACGCGGAGAATGGAGAAAAGATGGAAGTTGCCAAGAATCTCGTCTTGCTTGGACTCACCGCAGTGCCCTTGGAAGCAGCAGTCAAGAGGTGAAATGGTGCATTGCATTGGGCAGATCTGCTGCACAAGAGCTCTTTGAGGTGTTGCAAACCAAAGATGGGACTTTGAGGACTAGAGTGTACCTGGAAAACAAAGGAAGAATCGATGCATTTGAATTATGCTGCTGGCAAAGAATACAGAAAGTACATGGACTGCTAAAAGAAGAAACAAATCTGTCTTGGAAGAAGTACAACCTGAATGTTCCTTAGAAGCAAGGATGGTGAGCCTTCATCTGACAGACTTTCATGCTTGGTAAGTGGAGGAACAACGAAATAGAGGAAGACCCTGGACAAAATGGACGAACACAGTGGCTGCCCCAGTGGGCTCAGGCACAGGAACAATTGTGAGGATGGTGCAGGACCGGGCAGTGTTTCCTTCTGTTGTACATATAGTTGCTATGGGTCAGAGCCAACTGTATGGCACTTAAAATCAACAACAGCAGGCTAGTTTACCAGAGTTGCTAAACTAGTAGCCTCCAAAAAGCCAAAGCTGTTTCAGGGCAGTGGATTCTGAGCGAGGGTGGACCATGCCTTACAGAGTAGAACTGTGCTCCACGTGGCCATGATCTCTGTAGAGGGAGATCACCAGGGCTTCCTTCTGCTGAGCTGCTAGGTAGGTTTGAACTGCCAGCTTTTTGTTTAGCAGCCAAGCCCAAACGATGTGTGTTGTCCGAGCACTTATTACTAACCTGCCTTATTGTGATTGAGCTAATTCAGGCTCATAGCGACCCTGGAAGACAGAGCTGACCTGCCCCATTGGGCGTCGGGATCTTAAACCTATATGGGAGCAGACAGCCTCATCTTTCTCCAGTAGAGTGGCTAGTGGGTTCAAAGCACTGTCCTTGTGGTTGGCAGCACTCAATGCCTAGCCCACTATGCCACCAGGAAGCCCTGTGGAACACAGTCCTACTCTTAACACAAGGCCCGCCATGAGTCAGAATTGACTCGACAGCAGCAAGTTCAGTTGTTTGGAGCCTCATGGTTTAGCTAGTCTGGTAACTGGCCATATTTTCATTTCCTATGACCAAAGCCCCCTCTCTACCTCTGTTCTCCTACCTAGACCCTGCTGCAATCAGCCTGCGCTATTCTCACCATATTAATGGGATACTGTCCTTCCGTGCTATTGAACTATGCATTTCACCCTATCGACTCCAATTACGCTACTTCTGCTCCATCGTGAGTGTGCCTCAGGGTTGACTGTCCTCCTCAGTTTGCAAACCCGAGTCTCTTCCCAGACTCCTCTCCCTCAACTCCACTCCACCATCTGTTCCAGACTGCGAATGGCCTCCTCTCTTTGTGCTTCCCAATGTAGATTGCCCAGGCTGGGGTTATTTTAAAAACATCTTTATTGTGCCCCTCAGCTAAAGTTCACATAAAAAATTCAGTTCCATTCAATAATTCATACACAGATTGCCCATTGACACAGGTTGCCATCGCTGCAGTATGGCAGTACTCTGCCTGTTTTCACAAAGGAATTCCTGCTTCTCACAGGGCTTCAGTTCTTTTTAAAACTTGTTATTTTGTGGTAAGTGGGGGTTTACTTAGCAGCTCATTTTTGTCTTCAACAATTCATCAAACCTCCCACTAGCTTGCCCTGTCCCTCACCTCCACCTTCCTCCTCTTGTAGAATATTACCTTCCTCTTCCCTCAGCGAACGCCTGTCCACGCTCTAGCCTGTTGCTCCCCCTCTCTTCTCCTCCCCTCCCGCCCCTGGCAACCATCAAGGTCTGTTTCTTTTGGCATGAAAAACCTTGATTTTGATCCCCCCCCTTTTATAACACTGATTTCATACAGTAGTTGTCCTTTTGTGATTGACTAATATATGACTCATCATAATGTCCTCCAAATCCATCCACGCCATGAGATGTTTCACAGTTTGATCATTATTCTATAGTGATATATAGTATTCCACTGTGTGTATATACTAAAATTTATCGATCCATTCTTCCACTGATGGACATTTAAGTTATTTCCATCTTGTTATTATATAAATAGTGCTGCACTGAACATAGATATGTATGTATTGGTTTGATATTTGGATTTTATTTATTTATATATATGTGTGTGTGTTTATATATATACACACAAACACACACATACAAACACACACCATGTAAAGGGGTTGCTGAGTCATATGGTAGACAGATTACTATTCTTAAGAAATGATTAGTTACTGCTTGAGATAGTTAAAGTTTATTGTGCCAACCTGGCCAATAAACACATGTGGGGTTAATTGATAGGCCGAGAGATAAATAGCTCAGTGAGCCTCGCCTTTCAGGTCCTTGAGTCTCTTGCTTTGTGATGGTTGGACCAGGGTGCAGCTGCCTTAGCCAGGTCCCTGCTTCAGCTGGCAAAGCTCACTTCCTGCAAGACATCCCTGAGGAGAAGGCACATGGACCTACCCCGATGCAGCCCTGGGTGCTGGAGCAGCTGTGTGGAGACTCCTGCCAGTGCTGAGATGTTTACACATTCACTGACTCAGCTTTCCTCCTGCAGTCGGCATCATTGTGTGTGTTTTGTGAGATGGAAGAGGACTTTGTGGATTAGTGTCGGACATATGGGCTAATGTTGGACTTGTGGGCTTGGGCAGCACTGGCTTGGAATGTTTTCTTGATGTGCACTTACCCTTTATATAAAATTCTCTCTTATACATAAGACTTTCTGTGGATTTGTTTCTCTAATGTACCCAGACAAACACACTGCTCTTAGAGTAATGCAGAAAGCAAGGAGCCTGTCACTATTTGACCTCCACTCATGAGATGTGGTACTATTCCAGGGAAGCTCAAAAATTGATGAAGAGTTCATCCTGCAACAGTTTGACATTGACTGTGAGAACAAGCCATCCTGTGATGCACTCCACACAATGAGATTAAACAAAGTTCCCCAGGACCAAAAATCCAGTGTGGGGCCAAGTAAACTACGGGAGCTGGATCTGCCCTTCCAGGAACTGGACTTTAAGAAGAAACTCCAAAAACCACAGGTAATGGCAAAATTGGTGGGAGGGGGACTAAAAATCAAAGAATATGACCAAGAGCTCAAGCAGAAAGAAAATTTTTTGAGAATGATGATGGCAACAAATGTTTAAATGTGCTTGACATGATGGATGGATGGATGGTGATAAAAGTTGTACGAGCCCCCAATAAATTGATTTTAAAAATATCAAAGAAAATGAAGTCATATTATTCTGGTGCTAGCCTTTTATGATAGAATTCTTGAATTGTTATGGTAGTCCCATTAACTCTAAGCCATTACTCTTGATCATGTGCTTTTTAATAACCTGATCTTTAACAACTTACCCAGCTTGTAGATTGTGGTGAAGGTGGACAATGAAAGGAGAAAAACATCGTGTGTGCTCATTGACGCCCGACAGCACTGTTTTTATACAATGTGTTGGAGCCTTGATGGTGTAATGGTTACGAGTTGGGCTGCTAAACTCAAGGTTGGCAGTTTGAAACCACCAGCTCCATGGGAAAAGATAGAGCTTTCTACTCCCATAAAGAGTTACACTCTCAAACCCCCCAGGGGCATTTCTACTCTGTCCTATAGGGTTGCTGTGAGTCAGAGTCAGCTCAATTGTGGTGAATTGGAAAACTACAATGTTAATGCAACTATTATATATGTGTGTATATTATTAGTTGCTGGCAAGTCCAATTTTATGGGCATGTTTATAATAAGATGAGAAGTTAATCCTTCCATATGAAAAGGACAGTGGCAGAGGAGGGAGGGGGGAATGAGAAGCTGATACCAAGGGCTCAAATAGAATGAAAATGCTTTGAAAATGATGATGGCAACATATGTACAAATGTGCTTGACACAATGGATGAATGTATGGATTGTGATAGGAGATGTAAGAGCCCTCAATAAAACAATTTAATAAAAAACGAAAGAAAAAGAAAGGGACAGTGGCTAGAAGGGCCATCGGTGACCTGCAATACATGAAAGAGCTATAGCGCTCTTCTAGCTATAGCCTTTGTTGTCCCCATGAAGTGGCCTTCATTTCCTAATGGGTCTGTCTGAGAAGGAGGGGGGAAATACTGGTTGGATTATGATTCAGCTATGAGTGATTGTTAACAGAATTCATTGTGATTACCACCTGCTATGTATAAAGTGGCCATCTCATAAGCAGCGAGAGAGAAGAGCCAGGAGTGTAGCATGTCCTGTGGGCCCCAAGATCCCTATGCATCGAATGTTCTTGACCCAGGGCCCAGCTATGGAACCAGAGGAGTGACACAGGAGCAGCAACAGAAGGACCAGGAGCCAGAGGATCAGACAAGTGGGCTTCCCAGCAGCCCACAGAACAAGTAGAGCTGTGGGTATTTGGGCAGGAGACTGGCTTGTGGAGTGCCTCTGAGCATTTAACTGCGGGAACTGGATTGGCTGAACCATATTCTATTGCTGAGTGCCTTCAGATTGGGGCTCACAGGAGAGTGGCATGCTAATCCATTGCATTGACAGTCCTCAAATACTTTTATAGCCTTGCCCTGGCAGGACAGATGCCAGGCGACTGAGACCAGACAGAAGCCTGAAGGCAGGCCCAGCAGAGAAGAAACTGCACTGCTGGGACAATTACATCCTGAGCATTTCTCATCTGAATTGTCACGTGTTAGCGTCGTTAACTGACCCTGTAATTGTGGATATGGCCTTTGAGTTCTGTGTGACCATGGTAATGAATAGTCTAACACAGCCACGGAAGTAGAGTGCCTGCCATGTGAGGGAGGATCAGTGTCAGAATAGGGGGGTAAGGGGCGGACCTCAACATCATAGAAATTGGCCTTGGCATTGCTGATGTGGAGTTGATTTTCCACTCCTGGGGCATAGCTGGAGCAGGTCAGGTGTCACCCCACATCATCCCATGTTTTTCACAACTCATGGTGCCCCCATGTACAACACAGCGAAGTGTTGCTCAAGCCTGCACTAGATCATTAGGACCTGTGGGGTGCTCGAGCCCATTATTGAGGCCCCTGTGGATTCTTAAGGGCTCTGATCTAGAAGGATCCTATTCCAGAATTACATTGGACAGTTTTCTGCTGTGATCCCATAGGGTTTTGATGGGCTAATTTTCCAAAGTAGATTGCCAGGCCTTTTTCCCTCATTCATCTTAGCCTGGAAGTTCTGCTGCCAAGAGTCACCCTGCTGGTATCAAAAATATCAGTGGCATAGTAACTTCCCACACCATAGCAAAGCACATATTCTCACAGTATGACACACTGTCAGAAGGATGGTAGCAAGGGAAGAGAACACACACACACACACACACACACACACACACACACACACGAAGGGAATGGGTGACAGAATTCTTTTGTCTAAAAATGAAAAATTGTATTACCTCCAATCATTTCGTACCATGACATAGAATTGTTGACACTATGTTTTCAATATTTTGGACAAGTTCATTAAAGTTCATAAAAAACTAAAATTCAATTTACAATTGACCACAGTTGACCTCCCTATCTGGACTTGCCTTATGCTTTCATCGACTCTGTTCTCTAAGGCTTATGGAAACCACAGTCCATCGCTGGTACCAGCACGTTCATGCTTCCTGTTTCCTCTGATTTTCTACAGAGTGAAATACACAGTGCTGCTAGACACGCAAATTATGCTCATCACATGTGAGGCCGGAACTGCTGCTTGTCCTGAACCCGGCTGAATCCAATTGCTCAATCGCTTGTATTGACAAATAATTGCACAAGTGCTGCTTTATAAGCTTTGGTGGTTATTGCCAAAATCGAACTTTTAACTGGCAGACAGAAGTTCAGTATGCAAAAGTTCAAAACATATCTTCACATGGTAACACTTGCTTTTAAAACATTTTATGGGAGCTAATACAGATAACATATCATCCCGTAATTCAATCACAAAAGCAGTATTGTATAATTGCTACCACAACTAGTTTAAAAACATTCTCTTCTTGAACTGATATCAGCTCCCATTTGCCCCTCTCCTCCACTGTACCCCCCCCCAAAAAAAAACCTTATTCTATTTGCTATCTCTATTGGTTCGTCAATCCTGGGTTTCATATACCAAAACACAGAAAAAATATAGCAAAAATTCAAGCGGGCTACCCCCAATGACACAATACATTAGAGATAAAACCCCCAAAATGGAAAAAACAAGCAAACAAAAAACCCCAAAAACAACAACACAGAAAATATTGGAAATCAGATCAAGCCGAATGTGTAACACCGGGGGATCAAGTGACACGGTTTTCATTGCTCAAGTCAGGGTTATCATCTTGATCGTCTATAGTCATTTCTCCAATGCACTCTATCTATTGGGTAACCACTTTCCTCCATTCCCTCTTATTATAGAGAGAGGGAAATCACCAGTCTTGTTTCCTGTGTCGATCCCACAAATATCTCTTGGGCTCCCACTGTCACCCACAGCCTTCTGCAAACCAGAGTCTCACAGATTCTTTAAACTCTGATACCATTCCCTCTTTTGACTTAGACTGTATGATTGACAGTCCTTCAGCGACTGATGATGGTGTGCTTCTTCCCGGTGGACTTAGTTGACTCTCACTTAGAGATGTTTGGATACAAGCCTTTAAGACCCCAGATGTCTTGCAGGACCTTGCTTGTGATATAAATCTATGAATGATAGGTCTTTCAGACTTTATATATCTGAAAATATCCTATTTACCTTCCCGTTTAAAATATATTTTTGTGAAAAAAAAAAATATATATTTTTGTGGATATAAATTCTTGCCTCGTAGTTTTTGTTCTGTTGTGTTTTTTTTTTAATTTCAAAGATGTTGCTCCTCTAACTTCTTTCTGATACTGCTACTGATAACAAATTTTATATCATCCTTATCGTTGTTTTTTGAACATGATGCATTTTTTTACCCTGGACGGCTTTTAAGATTTTTGTTGGGCTGCAGTCTGTAAGGTGGGCAGTTGAAACCACCTGTGCTCCGAGGGAGAAAGACAGACGTGCTTCTGTCCCAGTTAACAGTCTGGGAAAGTCACAGGGGCGCTTCTACTCTGTCCTGTAGGGTCACTATGAGTCAGTATTGAGTCAATGACAGTGAGCGGGCAGGAGAGAGAGAGAGTTTGGTTATTATGTATCTGTAGTAAATTTCTTCATAGTTCTTGTGCTAGGGGTTTATTGTGATTCTTCAATATGTGAGTTTATGATTTTCATCAAATTTTTAAAATTGTGACCAATTTTTTTCTTTCCATTTCTCGTTGTCCTGCCTTCTGGGACTCTTGTTCATTGCATGTGTAGTAAGTTACTTGAAGTCGTTCCACAGTTCATTGCTGCTCTGTTCAATTTCTTACTACTCCTTGCTGAGTTCTATTGCTGTGCCTGTAGGTACTCTAACAATTTTCCTGAACTCTCTAGTGTGCTCTTAAGCTCACTGAATGTATATTTTCACCCCTTGGACAACACGCCCCCCCCACACACACATACACATACACACCATATGCAACCAGATTATTTGGAAACAATTTGGTACTTTGGGTTTTACGTCTTCTTTTTAAAATCATTTTATTGGGGGCTTGTACAACTCTTATTAAAATCCATCCATCCATCCATTGTGTCAAACACATTTGTACATTTGTTGCCATCATCATTTTCAGAACATTTCTTTCTACTTGAGCCCTTGGTATCAGCTTCTCATATTCCCCCCTCCCTTCTTCATAAACCCTTGATTATTTATAAATCATTATTTTTTCCCATGTCTTACACGGACTGATGTTTCCCTTCACCCACTTTTATGTTGTCCATCCCCCTGGGAGGGGGTTATAGGTAGATCATTGTGATCGGTTCCCCCTATTTTGCCCTGCCTTCCCCTTAACATCCTGGTATGGCTACTCTCAATATTGGTCTTGAGGGGTTTATCTGTCCTGCATGCCCTGTGTTTCCAGCTCTTATCTGGACCTGTGTGCGTGCTCTGGTCTAGCCAGATTTGTAAGGTCGAATTGGGGTCCTGATAGTTGGGGAGTCGGGGAATGGAATCATTAAAGAACTAGAGCA